GCAGCCTGGTCTTGCTCACGTATCCCTCCCCTCACCCTCACCTCCCATAGCTTCTAAGAATCTTAGCTGAAGCATCTAAATGCGCCATCTAATAGGAAAACATTAGAAGAAAAAGAAGAAGGGAGGCTTCAGAAGTGGGAAGGCATAGAAGAAAAACTAACTAGAGGATAACACTTGTTGTTGCCACCACCTGAACCCTCCCACTACGACCACTCCTTTACTAACAGTCATCGCTAAGCTTTGATCGTAGGAGCGGAGACACCCAAGCGTCTGATGGTGTGGGCAGCGACACCTTCTTCAATGGTGTATCCCCTCTTTATTCACCCCCTAAAGAATCCTAGCCCTCGGCAGTAAGAATCCTAGCTCTCAATCCCCTCCCCGCTGCTTTTTCGACGAAAGCTCGCTGATGATGGTAGAGCAACTCATTTGCAATTTTTGAAAATTCATTTGCAATCAGGGCACGTCGTACGCTGGGGATTATCAGCAAGGGGGTCGTATTTGGTCGCTGGAGGGATGAGGGGTATTTTCCCTTCGAGAAAAATGATTTCAGCTGATGACTTTTCTTGGCTTTCCTGTTTCAGTGTCGTTATACGCCCCACCGCTCTTTGCTCGACACTTTCTTTGGGAAAGTGGGCAATTTTCGGGAAAAAACGGAGGAGAACTTCAAAAACTCCGAAAACGAGGAAATCGGGAAAATCCAGGAAGATGGCTGGTAGTATGAGGGATGGGGAAGGGAGCGTCGCACGGAGGAGGATCTTTTGATGGGGTCGCATTTTGCTAAAATTTCCCCCAAGGGTGTGCTCTGTTTGCAATTTCCTCAGCCGTATAATAACCTAGTGTCCATTATTTTTATTGACCCTCACCTTGCTGCAGCTATCTCGGCAATGGCGGCTAGGAATGGCATCTCGATATGATAGACGCGGCGAGCCCAAGCTGACAAGCCATGAACAGCTTGTTCTACACCCAACTCTGCCATAGCTCGTGCCATCCAGCATAGTATTGCCATGGACTGGCCTGAACCGCGTGGAGGCTGTCTCCTGAAAATAACTTCAGTATTAAGCACTTTTTCATTGACTTTGTGTAGCACTCAGTATATATTAGTATAGCTTGTATTGTACTTCGGTAAGAAGTTTCTTTGGCTTTACAATAAAAGAAAATGCGAATTGACGGGGAGGGGGGGGGGCATTTTGCACTTCTTCTATATCCATCGATGTGTCGCCCCATCAGGAGGAGACCTGTGGAATCTCGTGAAGCCACGAAATGATACCAGCCGTTCGTGGAGGCCACCTGTCCACTATTGCGATGCAATGGAATACCATACAAATACCACTTGCCACGGTGCCTCAACGAGCTCACAGGTTTCACCAGAGTGAACTTCGTAAACCGGAACAAGTGAGAGCAGCGGAAGTGCGAAGCACCCCCCCCCAAACCCCATTCATTCCCAAAAACTCCCAAAAAGTGCCGACTTGGCCAAACAACTCACGCACCTTCAGCTAATCCGCTTTCCAGTTTCAATTGTTTCTTTTCAAGGTCTGCCAGTGCAGATGTACCAAAGCGGATTACCTTAAATATCGCTATTAAAGGCAAATTCCACGCCGAATCTTGTCTGCCGCAAGTCTTCCATTGCGTCTTCCTCATCGTTGGTGCCCCTTCTTCTCAATACGTGAGGGCAAAGGCGCATCAACGAGGAAAACAAAATGACAGACACGACCCCGCCCACACGGTCAGCGTGGACTACGTAGAAAAAGCAGCTCATTGAAGATGATCACTTACCTGAGCGTAATATCCGTTATGATACGCTACAATCATCGCAAATGGATATGTCCGTGACAGCCATTCTTGACAACTGACTGAATTTGTGGTGAAAAACTGCCGCGATAGCTGAAATAAGATTCTTTAGCAACATCTTGCTCGATAGTGGACGTTCCTGTACGGTCAGGAAAACTCGGAGCTCTTTTATGGAAATTTCTCAACCACGCGGAGGCTAGCATATTTCCATACCAATCACGCCCAGAACACAAACTCCGCCCCTGAGGCCGCTGGTAAATCAGGCAGTGCGCAGTCTTTGAACTTCGAGCACCAACACAACAAGGATAAAAGGATAGCCTTTGATATTTTACCCCGGGTACGCGTGCCACTTGTCGCTACCACCTCCGCCTAATCCAGTGAAACTAAAACGTAAAACGTGCTGGAACTTCGGCGCAGATCGGCTTGGTGGGAGCAACAAATAGTCCT